GCACAAGCAGTGTGGATATGTTTTTGTGTGTGCAAAAAACCCATTTTGTGCAAGATCCTTATGCCTCTCCAGGACAGTAAAGACAAAACTAAAGTACTGCTCCTGACAGAACCTAAGACTGCATTATCCTTTTTCACAGCTTCATCACCTTGGTGGTTCATAGTCATGCTGTAATCAATATATTTGCATTTTTCACCTCCTCTTTTCCATCAACTAAGTCTCTTCCTTATAGCAACTATTTTTATTAGCCCCTAAATACATTATTACATGTATCCTATTTCTATTATTCCAGTTTTCTGGGATGTCCAAATCTTTCAGTAAGATATTACAGCCCTCCTCCATATAGGGAATACCTCCCAACTTTTGTGAAATCTAGAAATTTCATTAGCATAATCCCACTTTTTAAAATTATTTCCAAAAGCAATTACCAAGGAGCTCCACTAGTAACTTCTCTTCAACCTGACAGTTCACCTTTCAGCATGACCTACCTTAGTCTCCCCTTTAACAAATTCTTTATCCAGTTTCTATTATCATATTAATTCCATCTTTCTCCATTTTAACTAATAAGTATTCTCACCAACCTTTTCACCACTGTTGGAGATGAGCCACATCCATTCAGATTTAATTAGCACTGATGTCACAGTTTCATCTCTGTGTCTTCCTTCCTTCCTTCTGAGGACATGGTTGTAGCTCACAAAAGCTTATGCTCTCATAACCTAATAAATTTGTTAGTCTTTAAAGAGCCACCAGACTTGTTGTTTATACCAAACATATTACTTAACTACCGCTAGATTAGATTTACTACACATCCGCTCTCTAGAAAATCAGTTAGGTCATGAGCAAGAACCAGTTAACTACACTTGAGAGAGAAAGAGAATGCTTATTGCCTCAGAACACTGGACCATCCTGCCCAAGGTATCAGCTGTGGATTGGGCTAGACTAAGAAAGTAGCTTTAGTGACTGCAGTCCAAGGGCTCTGGGCTAAAGGGAACCCACAAAAAGATTTGCACTTTTGGTGGTCGAGAGATTTTTTTGTGAGGCCCCCTTAGTCCAGGGCCCTGGGTTGCAGACACTAAAATCCCTTCATTCTGACCCTGCCTGATTTGGGGGGTGGGGAGATGCAGCTCCGCACACTGTCATTCCTCCTCCCATCCCTACTGGGCTGGAGCTGAAAATATTGGACGTTCTGTCCATGGGCTTCCCTGGCCTGCATGCTCCACCCCTGCAGCAGTGGGGAGTGGTGCCTGGAGGCAACAATGTTGGCACAAAACTTTGGCAAGCACAGGGCAGCACACAGAGCCACCTGCTCCCTGCGCTTGTGCCACCAAAGGGGAGCAACTCCGGGTAAGCAACCCAACCTCCTGCCCCAGCCCTGAGCCCCTTTCACATCTTAACTCCTACTTGGACCCCACCACCTATCCTGAGCCCCCCTCTTGCATCTGTTTGCCCTTAGTCCCTTCCTGAGACCTAACTCCCTCACAGACCCTACACCTCCTTCCTTGAGCCCTTCCAGCACTCCAAACCCTGTGTCCCCTGTCGTGTCATGTCCAGCCCCACCCAGACCCTGCACCCCCTCCCTCCCACACTCTGAACTTCTCATTTGGACCCACCTAGGGGGCTCACAAAATCTAATTGCCCATGGCCCCTGTAAGAGTTAATCTGGCCTGGCTGTGGCCATCCCTGATATTTCAAAGCAAGGAGACCAAAAAGATGGCAGAATGCATTGGGGATATAAAATCTCTTCCTCAGCATTGCAGGTGCCTGGCTGAAGCCCTGAGGCATGAACTTTCGAAACACATGACATGAACCAGAAGGGATGCCCCACTGCTGCTAAACCCCCCTGTCCTTTATTATTACAAGCAACCTAGGTGTACAATCAATGTATTGAGTTGTCTCTTAAATCTAATTAAATTGTTCACTGCTACAACTCCTATTGGGAAGCTGTTTCGGACCCTCATTCCTCTGGTGGTAAGAACCCTTCTTCTAATGTCTAGCCCTGTTCATAACCAATCAGTTTTGTGCCAATGTTTTTGTTGTTGTTTAAATAGCTTTTCCCCTCTCCCTGGTGTATTTCTGGAGAGAATCATATCACCTTGCAGCCTTCTCTTTGCAAGGTTAAGGAAGCCAATCTCTCCCACTATCCTTTCATAAAACAGGTCCTCCATTCCCCTCATTATTTTTGTAGCTCTTCTCTGTACCTGATCCAGTTTGAATTAATCTTTCTTGCACATAGGTGACCAGAACGATAAACAGTATTACAAATGCCTTGTGCAATGGCATTTATACTTCCCTTTCTCTCTCTGCTGGAAACACCTCTTTTTATACATTCTAGCATTTGCATTTACCCTTTTTGCAGCAGTACTCACATTGATGGCTTATCACTTCTGTGGTCAACCCACCTACCCAGGACCCTTTCCTCCTCTGTCGCTTCCAGTTGATGAGCCCTCACTTTGCAGTAGCAATTCTTATTAGATCAGTACATGACTCTTCACTTTGCACTGTCAACTTTTATCCTATTTCTAATAGTCCAGCTTTCAAGGTAATCCATAAAATTCTGTAAAATGTTAGATCCTTCTTTGTATTGCTAATGCCTCCCAGCTTTGCATGAATATCAACTTTCATTAGCATTCTTCAATTTTTGTGCCAAAGTCATTAAAAATATTTAATAAAATTGGTCCCAAGACTTGAGTCCTGAAGGTGTCCACTAGTTACTTCACTCCTGTGACTTTTCAGCAGAACTTTTCTGCTTTCTACCCTTTAGTCAGTACTTTATCCACCTCATAATTCTTGTACCACCCTATTTTCTCTACTTTAACTAATAATTCTCATGTGGTACCATGTCAAATGTTTTACTGAAGTCTACATATATAGGTCTTCTGCATTTCGCTTATCTAAAATCCCGCAGTTATTTTCTCAAAGAAAGAAATCAGTTTAATCTGTCATGATCTACATCTGGCAAACGCATGCAACATTTTATTCCCTTTAGCATTTACTCCCACCATATTTAATTATTTTTCCTTCTGAAATCTTTCATTCTACTGAGGTTAGACTAATAGTTCTCTAATTGACCAAAGCACATTCGCTATTCTCCAGTCATGTATTGTTCCAAAACAGATTTATTAAAAATCCTTGCTATTAGGCTAGAATTCTCATGTGACAGTTCTTTCAATATTCTGGGATGAAAATTGTCTGTTCTTCCTGATTTTAACATTTTAAATTTTGAGTTTTTCATTGACATTAGGGGTGGTAATTTCTATGGGTATGTCTACACTACAAAGTTAATTCGAACTAACAGACGTTAGTTTGAATTAACTTTGATAGGAGCTACACTAGTGCTCCGCTAGTTCTAACTTAATTCAAACTAGCGGAGCGCTTAGTTCAAACTAGGTAAACCTCATTCCACAAGGACTAAGCCTAGTTCGAATTAATTAGTTCGAATTAAGGCCTGTGTAGCCACTTAATTCGAACTAGTGGGAGGCTAGCCCTTCCCAGCTTTCCC